AATTTTTAAGTAAATTAATATAAAGAATATTAAATAAATGTATTTAGACAATAGAATTAAAAAAGTTTTATTGCTTATATATTTATAAATATTAACAAATTTTACTATGTTTARATTGTAATTAAATATATCTTTCTAGGTTCAAAAAGRTCATTAAATTTAGACAAATTATCTACTAGTAATGAATTTTTAACACCAACCTTTTCAAAACTTAAGCCAAGTAAGTTAATTAATTGTTGATTTTTATTTTTGTATGAGAACSTTCAATATAAGTTAAAAATAAACAAAGATTAGTTGGCTTTGTAATTTACTTAAGTTCAGAATATGTGTATATAAATTTATCACATTGGATACTGAAAATATAAAATATTTTTTGCTCACATTGACACATGATTGGTGTATATTATTATTATTATCATAGGTTTGAAAGATATCATAAATTGCCATTAACAAAAAATTAATTCTGATTAAATTTGAACTTTTTACATTTTGGCGGTTTTTCCTTATTTTTCAAAAAGCAAAGATGAAATTTGATGTTTATAGTACTCACACACACATGAATACATATATACACATATATTATACTCTATTCAGTTTAATTTGACCCACTCTCGTGCATGCATACTGAGCCGCCGAAACAGTCACACCCCTCTGGTTGGTGAATGGTGATTCGTGATTGGTCGCCGATTGTCATTAACTATCGGAGACTGGAGTCTACCAGGGTCATAGTCAATAGGTGGTAAGGCGACATCGGRCACTAGCGCTGCGAGACATGCGCAATCATGACMAGTTTTTGTCTGACTAGTGGGTCAACTTAAACTGAATAGAGTATAGGTTCCTATAAATAACACTACATACAATTTAGAAAATTTTTATTATTTAAAATAGAACAACCTAAGCTGACTTTTTATAATATTTAACTGCTATAAAAGAATATTTAAAATAAAAATATCAATTAGGATTACTCATTTTTATTTGGTTCTGGCAGAAGCACTTAAGTAATTGAGTCAACTATCAAAATGTACACAAAAGTATTTCAATGATATTTTTACATATTAGAGACAATTTTTGCTTATTAATTTTTTTTGAATGAATTATAAAATCTTCAACTGTCATTTTATCGAACATTTAATTTTAGGGGAGAATGAATCACATCAACAATCTTCATTAAAATTTCATGATTCCTCATCAAATCCTGTATTATCAGCATCATTTAGATGGGATACATTTGTTAACTATGGTGAAGTAAGTAGCCTATTTTATACTTATTGCTATAATATAGGTAATTAAATGTTTACTGTAATTGACTATCTGTTTTTCTTTTCAGTTGTCAGAACGTCAAAAATTATTTGCCCAAAAATCACCTTTAAATTGTTCTCAAGTTATGTATGGGGGCAATTCTGCACGTTCAAACTTATCAAAAATTTTAGGTAATACTCCACCAATTCATAGAAAAGCGGTGATTCCAATATCTTCTACAAATAATAGTGAAATTAGAACAACCTCGTCTATTCTCTTAGGTCACATTTCTACTARGGTTAGTAAAATGATTAATAATAAAATAAAATATATAAGCGTAACAAATAATTATACTATACATATTTTCAATACTAAGTTTTTATCTTAGTCACTTAATTAGCATACTGCTAACAGGAAACTATGTTTTGACTTCAAAATAATAGTTTTTATTTATTTCAGGACAAAGAAATTGAAGAAAATAAATTTATTATCCAACCTAAAGTGCATCAAAGGCATAAAGCAGATCAAAAAAATGTACCTATTAAAGTAGAATCCACGGTGAAAATTGTTGAAACAACACCTGATAAGGCTGATAAACCTAGTGAAGTCTCGTAAGTAAAACTTTTAACTTCATTAACACTATTAATAGTACTGGTTTAGTTCACACTAGCCAAGAAMGTATTATCTTGTAATCTTCATGTATTGAACAAATTAACTAAATTCATCATTAGAATATAATAAACAAATTACTTACTCAAATAATGCCAAAYATTAATCAACTCAATATTAGTTCTATAATTGAATATAAATCAATAAATCTAATAATAAGTACCCAATAACTATTAATTAATAATGATGAATGAGTATAATAAATCTTGTAGTTAATTTTAAAAYGTATCATTACAACATTTATTCTCAACCCTTATTTCTATAAATTATAAATTTATGAGATATTTGTCTCTTCCAATAGTTACTGATTCAGTAAATAAATATCCTTACCATAGATTTTTACAATAATAAGTAATTATTGGGATAATATTTTTATTTTCATAGATCAACTTATTCTGGCCAAGTAGATACAAATGCAACAAGAAAACTTCGAGTAAATATTTCAAAAAAGAGTCGTGGCATTAATTCTGATGAACTTGAAATGCCTACTGAAGTTAATTTGCCTAGGATTTCTCTACCATTGACTACATTACCAAATATTGATTTATCAAATACTCATGATGAGGATAATGAATTCACATTCAATCAACCATTAACAATAGAACAGTTTAGTTTACAATTGGCAGAAAAAACTTGTAGAAAAACACTTAAAACGACTTTGAAGAAATCACAAACTACTAACATTGAGGTAAATAGTAAACCTCCATCTAGCACTAACAATAATAATTCTACAAGTGAATCTTTTATTAAGGATTCTAAGAAAGTATCAATTATGAGTAATGATAATAATGCAATTGAGAATCCAAATAAAAATGACAAGTTGTCTCAACTTAGTAACTTTGCTGACTGTCCTAAAAATTCTTTCAAAACTACATCGCCGTGTTCTGATTCTAAATTAGAATGTTCAAAACCTGCGAATATAAATGTTGACAATTCTCCTAAGAAACTTGGAAGTAAAAATGAAAATCAATTAGCACCAGAAAGATCATCAACTAAATTATTAAAGTGGTCTTGTGATGCTTGTTGGGTTTCAAATGATGCTGATGTAATAAAGTGTATTGCATGTCAAACTCCCAAGTCCRAGAATTCTCAAACAAAAGTTATCAAATCAAGTACATGGACTTGTGAAACTTGTTGGGTTCCCAATAAAAATGAGATTGAAGTATGTGTTGCATGTCAAACACAGAAACCTGGAACTACAAAAAAACCAGTAGTACAGGGTACTTCTTGGACTTGTGATGGTTGTTGGGTAAAAAATAAAAGTGATTGTACTACTTGTATTTCATGTGGGACAGCAAAACCAGGGTCTGCTCCAGAAAATAAACCTTTGCCTACAACTCAATTTAAATTTGGATTAAATAACAACACTTTTGAAAATTCTGGCACTACTCAGTTTAAATTTGGATTTGATAGTAAAATTGATCAACCATCTAATAATCAGTTTCAATTTGGTAGTRGTGTGCCACTTGCAAGTTCTGATAATGGAAAACTAGATACTCCTACCAGTGAATTTAAATTTGGATCAGTTAACAATAAAACTGATCAGCCCCTTAGTACATTTAAATTTGGCACAGTTAACAATAAAACTGATCAACCCCTTGGTACATTTAAATTTGGCACAGATAACAGTAAAACTGATCAACCCCTTAGTACATTTAAATTTGGCACAGATAACAAWAAAACTGATCAACCTCTTAGTACATTTAAATTTGGTACAGATAGTGTATCTAAATCACCAGTAAAGAAATCTAATGAGGGATCAAATATCAATAATACTGATCATCCCAAAACCCAGTTTAAGTTTGGTTCTGAATCTAAACCAGATCAATCTGAAAGTCAATTTAAGTTTGGGCTAAATGCTACTACTAATAAACCAATTGCACAATACAAATTTGGTTCAGATAAGATCGAAACTGAAAAATCTGTTCTTCAAAACTCTGTTGTTAATAGTAATATAGTTACTCCGTCAACAATCGAATTTAAGCCCCTAGTAAATAATATAAATAAAGAATCTGAAAATTCATTAAAGTTACAAAACAAAAGTAATAAGCGAAAAGTTGACGATGCAAGTGAAAATTCAAGCCTTCAAGTATCTTTTGGATCTGCTGAAACTAACACTAATTCTTTTATGAATGTTGAACATAAAAATAAAGACTYGTCTAAAAAGAAGTTAGTTGTATGGGATACTAAAGTGAAAAATATTGAAATTAAACCTTCATTAAGTTTTGGTTCTACTCAACCTGTTCAATCTCTAACAGAAAATACAAATCAGATGCTAAATGGTCATTCATATCCTAATGAATCGTTAAAWGAAGATCAAAAGCCAGGCTTGATTAAGACCTCTCAATTATTCAGTTTTGGTTCTTTAGCAAAACAAGATCAAAATATGCCTATTGACCAAAAAAATCAAAAAATGTTTACATTTGGATCATCAGCCACTAATGATAAACCATTTACTTCTTCGATAATGGGTGCTAGTAGCTTTCCTAGTTCTGCTCCAGTGTTTGGTGCAAGTAATTCAATGTTTGGTAGTGGACCTACTTCATCTACTCCAGCAACGTTGGGTTCTTCGATACCAACACCTCAATTTTCATTTGGTTCATTGGCTCCACAAGTTCCCAACAATCTTTTTTCTCAAACTCCTAACGAYAGTGATAAAAAACCACTAGCTCAAAATTCAAATATTTTCAGTTCTACGAATAATGTAGGGTTTTCATTTGGTGCGCAATCTCCTCCTGTATTTAGTGTTCCCAATGCTGGAGGACCTACAAAAATGTCTAATATGGTAATAACCACTTCAATATTATATATTATAACATTACTTACATAACAATTTATTAATTATTATTTATAGGATGATGATCAAACTAAAAGTGCATCAAATAATATATTCAATCAGTCAAGCTTAAAACAAACTGTTAAATTAGATCCTAATGCACCTATATCCATTAATTTTACTGGTGGAGCAACTACTCAATTTACGTAAGTATTATACGTTATATTTAATAGTTTTTAAATTATTTGAATTACAATAGTTTCTATTATTAGTGCCAAACCAGAAACAACTGAACAACCTAAAAGAAAAATTTTAAAACCAGTTAGAAGGATTCGGTAAAATATGAACATACTACTTTGTGTATTTTGTTAATTACATTTTTTTTATTGTGTAACAAAGTTTAGATTTAATGCTAAAATTGTTCAATATTTGAACTGATTCTTGTCATTATATTTGTATAATTATATTCTGTGGTTAGCTATGGATTATTTAAAAACAGGTTGAGGTCAATATTTTTTTGTAGGCAGATAAACTATTATTTGGATATCCAATTACATTTGACAACATATTTGATGGCGCACAGAATTTGGGGATATGTTAATAACATATTAATTCATTAACTTTTTATTTCAATTTTTCTGCATTGTGAACTTTATATATACAAACTTTATACATCAAACTATCAATGACTTCTTTTTTAAAATTATTTTTGGTTAAAAAAAAAAATTTAATATTTTAACTACTGTCTTGATTTTTGATATATTGAATTGTGAAACCTATTTAAAAGAATCTTATTAGATAATTGTAAGCATTTTTCAAAACATTGGGTTCCATTTGTTAATATTTTACATATATAAATATTTAACTAAACATTTTTTATTTTTTTTTTAACATAAATAAAACTCATAAACTTTTATTCTTTAATGTATTTAATACCTTTAAGAATAATTTGCTGATGTTTTATGTCCTAATAACTATGTACATATTGAAAAAAAAATGTTGTATTTTTGTAAGTTAGTTTTTGGCTATTTTCAATTTGTCACTTCTAATTTAATAAATTATACTTAAAAATTAATTAGTATGAAATAAATCAAATACCATTAATTTAACAACTAAAATAACAATATTTTCTTTTTACTGTGCGCCACCTTATCACTTCTATAATCTTATTCAAACTGTTGGTAGCATAAATATTTTATTTTCGTAAATGTAATTCATTGATACACATTAACATATTTTTTTGTTTAATATTTGCTTTATGTTAAAAAAAATTTAACAGTGTATAAATTTAATGGTGTAAAAATTATATTATAAATAATTAAATGGATGTACAACTATTTTGTTTTAGTGAGTTWAATTAATTTTTATTATCATTTTTGGCTACTAAGTGCCATTCTATTGTTATGATAAAAAACAATTTTTAGTGTATTATTTAATATAACTCATGGTATACAGAACACAACATTGTTAACATTGTTTATTATATATATATGTGAAATAATATGTTTTTTTTCTTTTAGTGGTTATATTTGTTTTTAAGTATAATATTTTAAGTCTGACCCAAGGAATTTCTATTGCCAACAGAAGTGTGGTTATCAAACTGTATGAATTATATTCAAATTATCCCTTATTTTTATTTCAAAAATAATTCCTAAATATTATACAGGTATTATATTTTATTTTTGTATAGTAAAGTGTAAAAAAGTTACTTTTACATTACTAGTTAAAAGCTAGCCAAATGGCTTGGATGTCTGTGATATTCTTGTGGGTCAGGCTATGTTTGATGATAATTATCGATAACCGTAGCAGGCTCACTCCTTTGAGATAAATGTATTTTTAATTTAAAAACTTAAATATACATTTAATGTGTTATAAAAAATAAATAAAATAAATCATATTTTAGATTTTTTTAAATTTCAGAATGTTTATTTCCATTTACATAGTTATACATCAGTAAGTAGTTATTATATTGTTGTCTTTTTTTATATATATACATTTGTTGTAAATTGTTGCTGATTTAATATTTTGTAAACCAAAAAGTGGAAATAAACTAATTTGACTGTGATGAAAGGATAGAATTTATTTTTGTCCAAGTGAATAATTTTAGGAGTAAGGCTGCTAATTTGAGCTTCGTGTAGCATATTTTTCTTTATAAAGTGTACAGTCTTTTAATTAGTATAAGTGTACTTTTAAGTCTTAATAAATTTAATTTTACAATAATTTGCATTACATTTCTTGAAAAATTGTAATTTAGGTTTGATGCATAATAAAATTATGTTTTGTTTATTTTTAAAATATCCATTYATTTATTTGAGTTTATAACAACGGTCAGCAATTGGGGGGACTGTGGATGACAGAAAACTGGATTGTCAACATATCTTACATTATTTTGTCTTTATAATATACTACTATAAAAATATAAAGCTTTGACATAAATTTTTTTCTCTGAACCGCATTTACTTATTATTTTAATCTTCCGAGCTCCAATAGAATTGACTTGYTAAAATACTAACCACTGGTATATAACATCTAACGACCATATTATATTTCAGTGTTATTCAATTTCTGAGCTGATWTGTGTGTAATCTGAAAATATGCCTAAATTTGTTATTTTTCTAAAATATATTAAAATTAGCACATAATATTTTAGTGCATCTAAAATGCATAACAAATAGCTTGTTTTATTTAACACAAAATATTGAATTAATTGTTTTTTAATGGTGTTCATAAGTCGTACGCCAGTTTCCATTACAGATTTAAATTTTGACAGGTAAATTCAATTTCATGTTAAATATAACATATTTTATCATGTATGTTTAGTTATGATATCTTTATTTTAGATGAACCTTAAACTTTCTCCCAAAAGAAATATTAAGTCTATATAAAAATGGAATATTCTATTTTAGTAAATGTATGTTCATACATCATATGTTAAAAAATATTCTTAAGATTGAAAAGATATATATAAATATAATTTAAATACAGAAATATACGCTTAAAAGTTTTTGCTATTAAAGGTTAAAAATATATGGTTTATTTATATTAAATATTGATTACTTGGTTGGTTATTATTTTCTATGTGTTCCACCTTGATGTTATGTAAATATTAAGTACCCAATGGAAAATGAAAACTTGCTACATGATTTTACTCTGACAATACAATATATTAATAATTTTGTGTATAAATATAATTAAAAAACTAGAAAATCCAAGCAGATTTACAACCTTACTACCTGCAAGATTCATCATGACATAATATTGTTTTGATTAAAGGATAAGTAAGGTATGATTTAAAAATATAATTGGTTTAGTATTGAGGGTCTGTAAATAATAAGTTTATATTATTATGTGGTGTAATACATTTTGCATTTTTT